TGGCAGTTGTTTCTTCATGGAAGGCCCAACAGAAAAACTGTAGAAAGCAGAGGTTGCCAGACATAGAGCTTTCAAATCTGTTGTCCAGCCTTCCTCTCTGGGCTTTAAAAAAAAAAAAAAAAATCCTATTTCTGGGATGTTTTGAATGCAGCCTATATTAGGCAGAGGAAAGTACAGCATGACCTTTCAAGATATTTTAACTTTAAGAGTCTATAATTAGCAAGCACTGTTTGAGTTCTCATGATACCATTTTACCCTGAAAGCACCCATCTAAATGAGTGGGTCGTTCCTCTCCACTCCTTTTCTCCTCTCGTTCAGATCTACTTCTGAGAACCTTCCAGGCATCGCGTTTGTGGGTTCTGCAATGTTAAAGCGCTTTCCTTTTTCCCTCCTTTGTAAGATCAGTCCAGTGACTTTCTCTTGCTTGCACGGAGCTTAGCTGGGCCTGCTCAGGACACAGCTGGTAAAGGGGGCGCTGGTGAACAGGTAGCTAGTGTGCCAGGGAGACGGCAGAGAAACTGACAGGTGCCGGCCCTTCCCTCGCCGAGTTCACAGTATGACAGAAACGAGACAAGTGAACCCTACCCATAGCTGATGAAGTAGTTACAAGTAGCAAACTGGTACGAGGGAGAAAAAGTGAGGAACAGTGTGGATCCGGTGAAGGGCTCTAATCCAGGCTGGGTGAGTCGAGAGGCTTCCTAAGGAGGTGATGTTTGTCCAGGGTGCGTAGGGGTTAATCATACATACATGCTGCCCCGTGCTCGGCTTCCTTGCAGAAAGCTACCTTTAAGTGCCAGCAAGTTAACATATCTATTTCTTTTTTCTTTGGTGGCTTTGGCAATACCCCACAAGTATTAAAATGAAAATACACATTGCCACAGTTGATTAACAACTTTAAGATGAATACTATTTCATCTGAAGAAAAATTCTTTAAAGTATTAGCCTTAAGGACAGCCTACATCGGCTGATGGAATGAAAGAGGTTGACAAATCGCTGGGACATCAGCCTATTCGCAGATGTGTAGACTAGTGACGGAAGTTCAGCTGCACTTTGCCTCCCATGTACCGTATGGAAATATCTGAAGGAACAAAGGTCCCTTTTTAGCTAAGATTTACTCTTTACTAACTGTCTTTAAAAATAAAAAAATCACCTCTTTTCCACTTACAATAAAATGTGCCTTAACTGCAATAGTTTTTGTAACTTGGAAGCCCCACATTTAACTATTAGGTAGAGCCTGAGATGACTGACAAATAGGAATATTTTTCCGAGTTGTTTTGTCCCTTGAGATGATTGTGGCTGTGACTCTCATGTCCGTTAGACTTAAACACATACTTCTGGGGAAATTGCTTTTCATGTATCAGGCTTACTTGGTGTTCCTGTGTGGCTGTGTGTTTGTCACTTCCTGATGTTAGAGATTTGTTCCATAAATTTGGAACTGTCTCTCCTCAGCTCTTATCAGAAACGGGGCTTGGGGGAATGGAAGTGGGCTGGATTTCTGGAGCAGCAGTTTCCCTGTAGTGAGCCATGCCATCCGTCAGAGCTGCTTATGTGTATCCCATTGCCTTGCCTTCTTCCCAGAGAAACTCCAGAAAGTTATGCTTTGAAACTTATTGAGGGACACAATGAAACACTGTGCTGTTGCTCACTGCCCCTTGGGGAGACCTGAAGGGACCATATTGGAGCCAGGTGTGAAGAAAAGCTTGTTGCCCCTGCTCCCTCCCAACACACGCAGGCATGGAGATACACACACTCTTTCTCTGAGTCTGGAAAATGGGTTTCTTCTCTCTCTGGCTCTAGCTACAAAGGAGATGAGAGCCAGAGAGTCAGTTTCTAAGACTTAACTAGTATAATCTGTTGCCCCTGGTCTCGTCTCTATTTTAGTTATTTAACACATATGGGTAATGCATACTATATGCCAGGTGTTGTTTCTAAGTTCTTTTTAAGTATTAACTCCTTCAGTCCTCTCAAGGGCCCTCTGAAGTTAGCACTGTTGTTATCCCTGGTTATAGATGAGGAAACTGAGGCACAGGGTATTGCACCGGGAGTCACACAGGTGCTAATTGTGAGGTTGGCTTTCAGAATCCTTGCTCCCCTCACCCCCCCAGCTTTGCTGCCTCGGCAGTGATTCCCTCCCAGGAGTGGGGGAACAGCTTCCGTCACGGAAATACCCAACCCTCTTCCCTCTCCCACTCCGTCTGCGATCAAGAACCCTGGTCCCTATTTACCTGGCTGGCTGACTCTCCATTGTTCTTCTCATGGTCATTTTGTTGTTAATCTTCACCTGAGGATTTTTTTCCCACTGATTTTTAGAGAGAGTGAAAGGGAGGGAGGGAAGGAAGAGAAACATCAATATGAGAGACACATCAGTTGGTTGCCTCCCGCACGCGCCCCAACCAGGGCAGGGATTGAACCTGCAACCTCAGTGCTATAGAAGCGTCTTAAATATGGGGAACCTCTGAAGGGTTTAAAGTAGGAGAGTAGAATTTTAGAAAGATTAGTATGGAAATTTGGGGGGTGGATAAAGAAGAGATTGCTGTCATCCAGGGGAAACATGACAGGGGCTGGAAGCAGGGTCAGGTTAGCGGGAATGTGCGTGAAGTCAAGGGAGAGGGTAATAGCTGGAGTAACGTTCCAAGTGAAATGAGAAAAACATCCTCCAAGGGTTGGTGGTCTTCCCAGAGGGTTATAGGTGTCCCACTGAGAGTGCCGAGGTATCCCACGGTATGTGAGATATAAAACTAAGCTGCTTAATTACCTCTTATTATGGTCCTTACTGGAACATGGCATTTTTGACCAGTAGAAGTTTGTTTCATCTCCACACTGCATTTCACATGCACTTTTGGTCTTTTATTTTTGTAACAGCTTTATTGAGATATAATCACATACCATAAAATTCACCCTTTTAAAGAGGGTAACTCAGTGGGGTTTTTTTGTGTGTTTTTTTAAAAAATATATATCTTTATTGATTTCAGAGAGAGGAAGGGAGAGGGAGAGAGAGAAATAGAAACATCAATGATGAGAGAGTCATTGATTGAGCCCGCAACCCGGGCGTGTGCCCTGACCGGGAATCGAACCCCGATCGCCTGGATCCCAGGTCGACACTCAACCGCTGAGCCACGCCCGGCAGGGCAACTCAGTGGTTTTTAGTGTATTTATAGAGATGTGTAACCATCACCACCACCTAATTTTAGAACATACATGTCACCCCCAAAAAGAAACTCATTAGCGTACACTCCCTATTTCCTGCTACCCCTGCCCCTGGCAACCACTAATCTACTTTCTGTCTCTGGATTTCCCTATTCTGCACATTTCACATACATGCAGTGTTTTGAAACTGGCTTTTTTCATTTAGCATAATGTTGTCAGGGTTTATTTACATTGAAGCATGTGTCACCACTTCATTCCTTCTTATTGCCAAATATTTTTTATTTATAGATGCACCACATTTTGTTTATCCGTTAATCAGTTGATGCACGTTTGGAGTGTTTCCACTCTTTGGCTATTATGAATAGTGCTGCAGTGAACATTTCGTGCAAGTTTCTGTGTGGGCTACTGTTTTCATTTTTCTTGGGTATATTCCTAGGAGTGACACATTCATTCTTGAGCGTCTTCCAGCAGTTGAATATTTGTGCTGAAAGTGGCATCTCAATTGAAAATCAGTTTCTGGTTGCAGATAGGTATATATCCTGGGATTGTTAAACACAGATTTTAATGAAATTTGGGAGGCAGTTAAAAGATACATAGATCAGCTACCGTGTGTGTGTGTGTGTGTGTGTGTGTGTGTGTGTGTGTGTGTGTGTGAGTGAGAGAGAGAGTGAGTTGATTTCAGGCTGTTCTCTTAGGATATTCATATTGTCGTTCTAAGAACTATAGGCCTCGACTGTGGCAGCGTATATTTACTTCCACTCACAAGCCACACCTCAGTTACTTAAAATCCATTAAAAGAGAAGAGGGAGGGATGAATAGATAGCGCACAGGACTTCTAGAACAGTGAAACTACTCTGTGTGATACCAAATGATAGGTACACATTATTCTAAATACGTCCAACCCCATAGGAAGTACACATCAAGAGTGAGCCCTGATGTCAGCTGTCAGCTGTGTGATACTGGGTCATAATGCTGTGTCCATCTAGGTTCCTCGATTATAGCAGATGAGATGTTGATGGAGGAGGCTGTGCATGTGTGGGGCAGGGGAAATATGAGAAATCTCTGTACTTTCTGCTCAATTTTGCTCTGAATCTGAAACAGCTCTAAAAAATAGTCTATTTTAAAAATCCATTAAAAGATCATAGCAGCTCTATGTATTTCAAAGGGAATCTTCCACTGTTTGATTTGAAGGTTACAGTGTATACTGCACAACAGGCAGTTTCCCGTTTGCCCTGTATGTAGATGTCCCTCTGCAAAGCCCTTGGTGGCCTGGCCTCTACCCTCTGCACTTCTCTACTCCTTGATCACAGTTGCCTTTCCATTCATTAAACTTACCAGCTCATTCTTGCCTCAGGGCCTTTGAACCAGCTTCTCCCTTAGCCTGGGCTGCTGTTCTTCCATCAGTTACCTGCCCCCTGTTATTATTGTCTTAATCAGCCATATCAGCCTTGCTCCGATTTTGACTTGACTTCTCTAGGTGACATTTATCTCAGTCTTCTTGCTTACCTACTAATTTGTGCCTGTGTGAGAATGTGAGCATCATGAGGGAAGGGAATCTGTCTACCTGTACTGCTCCACCTTTGAAGAAGGTCTGTCATGTATTAAGGAAATGTCCATGGAATGAATGGCCCAGTTGCTTCTCTCCTCTTGGGATCCTGGTACCTGTTAGAGCCAGTGTCTTCCTGGCGACAATGTCAGATAGCCCTTGATTTCACCTCCACTCCCAGGAAACCAACAAGACATAATAATAAAGCATCATTCTCATTTAACCTCCCCCCTTTTCCCCCTTTTAGAGCTATCATCCTCTGCCCAATACCGCCATTCTCAGAAGAGATCTGCTGCGAGCCTGGGAGTGTGGACTGCTGCGGGGACCAGGGCGGGATTCGCTGTGCACCACCTGCAAACTGTAGGTTTGGTGCCTCCTGGCGCTATATCGTAAGTATTTGCATCATCAGAAGGTTGGCTGCCTCCCAGTTGTCCTGCAACTTCTGTGCTAACTTCTCTTTTCTAGTTAAGATATTTTCATAAATGCCTTAACAATGAGGATTTCTATTTTATTCTGAGGGGAGGGTTAGATCTCCGGCTGTTGCAGGTGAGTGGCTGCTTCCTCACTCATTGGATTGCTGTCTCAAATGCCAGCAAGAGAAATAGAGGTAACACCAAAATGTCCTAACCTGTTTCCGTTACTGCCAAGAGACAGTACACAAACTGCCTCAGCCGCACATGAAGAAAAGTTTGTCGCACTAAAAATCTTCAAAGGAATGTCAGTCAGCTCTGCATCTATTCAGCAATGTTCCTGCAGTTGTTACTTATTGTGCTTTATAGTTAATTCAAACCAAGGTTAAAGGGTGTGGTCCTTACACCCACTGTATGCCCGATGAGGAGGAAGGAGGTTTTCTCTTTTGTGATTGACATTGTGCAAGTCAAGTCACTGTCCATACCAGTTTGAATTTCATTTCAATGGCGAGTTTATTCTTGAAAATAAAAATAGCAGTTGCATTTTTAATACGAGGTATTTTCTCTTCTCTACATATATGAGCCCCTTACAACTGGGGCTCATTTGAGTCTTATGATAACCATTCTTTTTCATCATTACTAATTCATATGGTGTTTGCCTAAAAAGACATCAGCCCTAAGATGGACCCCAGGGCCATGTAGTCCCAAGTTAATTCAAAATAAATTTTAATGAATATTTAAGAGTCACTGTTAAGCATAGCATTCTATAGGCTTATTTGTCGTCCTTAAAATTCAAAATAATTCTAGGAATGTTGCTGGGACTCAGATGCCTATATTGGGCTGATACTAGGAATGACAACCATTTCTAAATGTTTGACCCCAATGATATATCTCTCCCTTTGTCTGGTAGTGTCTGTCCCATTGAAGCTGGGCAAAGAAAGGAATTCATTTATTCAACAAATACTTAACTGAGTTTCTGTGCCGGGCATGTTTTTCAGTGTTGAGAACAAGGCGGTGAACAGAACAAAATCCCTGCTTTCATGGAGGCTTTAAAAAGCTCCCAGATATCCTCAGCAAACAGGTGGGAGAAGGCAGGTGCAGAGAAGTTGACTCACTCTCAGGTGTCCTGGGAAACCACCTTCAAGATGGCAGCCAGACACAAGATGGAAAGATTATTGGAACCTCATTTGGAAAATATGATAAATGCAACCTTATGCTCTAGTTTAATCACTGCAGAAATATAGGAGCTTAATAAAACAACAAACAAAAAGATGCCAGGTTGATATAACTTGGGCTTAGAAAAGAAAGACTGACTTTCCCGGTACACCATTTTAATACATTTTTTTCAGATTCGCAGATTCTGCCCAAATTCTGCCTCTACCATCCCTTCCCAGCCTCCATTGTCAGTGTCTAATGCATCCTTCCAGTTTCTCTATGCACAGACATAGAGGATAAATTCATATTTCCCCCTTCATAAAGTAAAAGATAACAAACTAGACCTCTCTTCAATATACGTTTTTGTCCTAGTGTCTGTAGGAAGGTTTAACACATTAGTACTAAGAGAGAGTCCTCATTCTTTTTTTGTTTTTTCCAACAGTTACAGAGGAGTCCATTGTATGGATGTACCACAATTTAAATAGTGACCTATTGATAAACATTTGGGTTGTGGCCAATCCTTTGCTCTTAAACAATGCTGCAGTAAATAACTTTGCACATAGGTTATGCTGCATGTATGCAACGATATCTGTATAAATGTGCAAAGTAGAATTACAGGTCATAATTTGTGTGTAATTTTGATAGATATTGTCAAATTGCCTCCCAGAGGAGGTTTTTCTTTCTTTTTTTAAAAAATAATTTTTTATTTCAGAAAGAGGAAGAGAGAGAGAGAGAGAGAAATCGGTGAGAGAAACATCAATTAACTGCCTTCTGTATACCACCAGAGGGGGTTTTTCTTATTCTCAGGACTGCCACAAATTTGTGAGAGGAACTGTCCAGGGTCTGGATTTTTGCCAATCTGGTAGGTTAAATGGTGTCTCAGAGGAGTTTCAGTACAGGAATACTGTTCGTTCAGAATTTTCAGTGGTATTTTTTTAAAGAGAAAAAATGCTCAGAAAACTAAACAGGTCTAGAATTCAGCTGTTTTTATTGTACAATTGGACTACTAAAGCCCATCTTAAATCTTCTATTATGTAATTTAAAATTATGCTTGCTCATGTTAAAAATACTACATTTTAAATTCTGAAAACACTCAGGATAAAAATGCTTCTCAGGCTCATGATGTATGTAGGTGACCTGCTAAGAGCAAGGCCTGGTGTGCTTAGAAGGTCTGCTTGTGAGGTTGGCCCTTGGCTGGCATCTGGGAATTTAGATTTGAGGACAGTTTCCACTCTAATGCCTTTGTGCCTGAACTGTTTGTGTAGACAATCGTGGTTTATGTTGAATACCTGCTTGCATTCTGGGAGGATTGGGTACATGCCTGGCAGCAGGTGCCTGTGTGACTAGCCCCGGTAAAAACCCCAGGCTCTGAGTCACTAATGAGCTTCCCTGGCAAACAACAGTTCACAGGCGTTGTCATAACTCACTGTTGGGAAATTGAGTCCAACGTGTGTGACTCCACTGGGAAAGTACCCCTGGAAGCTCACTGCTGGTCTCCTCCAGACTTTGCTCCTGCACCTTTTTCCTTTGCTGATTTGCTTTATATCCTTTTGCTGTAACAAATAGCCATGAATACAACTACATGCTGCTCCTGTGAGTCTTGCTAGTGAATCTTTGAACTGGAAGTGATCTCGGGAACCCTGACGCAATCAGCTTTGCAAAGGTTTTAATATTCTACCTGCAGTATTAGTATTTTTAGCGTGCAATTAATTGACTTGGGCGTTACATCTTGACTTGCAGTCTGTGTTCTAGTGTAAAATGTGTAGCCCCTCAGGTTCCTGAGCAGTGATTTAGCATTTACATCTACATATGGAGGCGACAGAAGAAGAAGGCTGTGGGTTATTGAATGATTTTATGTTTAGTGCAGAACCCACAACCGGTCCTTTGGTCCTCCCATATTTCGGCTTAATATTTTCTTGCTTTAATTTCTATTATTTGATTATTAGGTAAATGGATTTACTCAAATTCCTTTGGATTCATAGCCACTGAATTTTAGTTAGGCAGTCTGATTTCTAACTATGCTCTGATTCTAAAGCTTATCTGCAAATAAATAATCCCAAGAAACTCCACTCAGGACAGCAGATCTTTGTCTAAATAGGACATAAGGCCCAAAGATTTTGAAACAAAGTTTTATTTTGTATAATTGTGTATTAACATCTCATTTGAAATTTTTAAATACTCAAATAGAAAACTGACGTATGTGTTAAACATACGGATTTATTCATTTAAGCTACTTTTCCTAAAGAAATTAGATGACACCTAAGGAAAAGGGTTTATATTTAGATGGTTTAAAATGTTAAATGTAGCCCAGAGCACTGGCTCTTCATGCTCACAGTTGACTGGTACATTTTTTATGATAGTAACTAAGATTGACTGACATTGTGGCAGCCACTGTTCATTGCATGTATTACCTTATTTAATTTTCATAGCAATTCTATGTGGTAGCTACTGTTAACTCCATTTTGAGACACAGAGGGTTTAAGCAACTTTCCCAAAGTTAAGTAATTTGCTGGAACGAGGTAGAACTGGAATTTGAATTCAGCTCACCTTTCTTCAGAGGTTGAGTTTTTATCCACTCTGCTTTCTGGAGTCATATGGTGTCTGGTGTGACAGAAAGTTGGTTAAATGAAGAACCTTATACATTTACTCTTGGGTATAGAGATGAGCTGATAATTTTTCCGCAGAGTATAGGAAATCCTTATCTCCTCGGTTCCTAAGTATCAGGAATTATAAGTGGGAGCCTTACAAATCACAAACTGATCATGTCATTCCCTGATCCCATTATCCTGGGGGCAAAATCCAAATATAACAAGGCCTTCCCAGGATCTTCAAGAGCCAGCCTTTTCTCATTCAGCCAAGCTGACTTTCCTTCTGTTCCCATACATACTAACCACATTCTCCTGTTCTTCTTAGGGCCTCTGCACATACTGTTCCTTCTGCCTTAAATAACCCCACCCCAACTTGCTCTTGTGTTAGAGCTGTTTCCTTAACTAGACTTCAAGCTCTGTGAAGGTCTGTCTGGTTCACCTGGCCATAGCAGACGTTCATACATCTAAATGGAGGTTAATCAGGTTTCAAAAGATGAGATGGAATTAGTGGTAATTTAGCTCTTATGGAGTACACAAACACAGAAAACTGTGCTGGCTATCCTAGATGAAGCTTTATTCCCATATAATCATCAGCACGCTTTAGTGTAGTTACTGACACTTGTGTTAAACAGGTAGTCAGCAACAGATCCATGGACTTAAATCCCAAGCTTTCTGCTGGCAGTTTCATTTCCCAAGACTCAACTCCATTTTGAAAATCTGAAGAACCAAGTTTCCTATCCCCAGTTATGTGCCCAAATATTTCATAGGGCTGAAGCAGATCCTCTTAGCAGCTATGAACTCCAGATTGGCAGAACCGTCGTTAGACATGGTTGAGGAGTGTAAAATATTTTGGAGAGCAGTTGACACCCATATTGCTTGCCAGTTTTTGATCGCCACGTGTGGGTGTAGGACTAGCCTGTTCTGTGCCTCTGCCCTTCCTACCAGTCTCGATGTGGCTTCTTCTGTATATCTTTAGTTATAAGACTTCTGTTTAGTTAGACTTCAGGTAGTTGTCAATGGTGGTGGTTCTGTAGTCTAGTTGTAATTTTGACATGGTCGTGGGAGGAGGTGAGTACAGCGTTTACCTCCTGCCATCTTGACTGGAAGTTTCTATTACTTAATAGATGTCAGGCATACTGGAACCCCGTTATAGGGTGAATATTTGAATATTATTTGGTGAGGGGAAGAAAAAAATTTCTGTATTACTTTGAATCCTTCAATCTATGAGCATAAATT